TCGCCAAATCACCTGTATTTATACAAGAAAGCCTTTGCCATTTTAACGGCTGATCTCCTAATAAACCAGAAACAACTCGGCCTGTACCCACTGGTAAGTCCCTGCTTTAAAAATGCCATCTCTGCCTAGTTAGAATTATTTTGGACTCAATTTTATAAAATTAATATAATGTGGGAGACAGTATAAAAAAATTTTTTTTTGCCAGTTTTCCAAATTAAAAATAGTTGAAATGACTTGTATCTTTTATTTTGGAAAACCGGTGACAAAAAGATATTCCCAGCCCACGATGGAGATGCCAAGTTTCTGTCAACTCCTTGGTTACAAATGGAGAGTTAGAATTAAATTTTCTATCTTGAAGAGTGTAGCTCTGAAGAAGAGAAATGATGTAAAGACTGTTGCAAGCAACTGTTAATCAGGGACCTAATGATGACACTCCCGGCTCTTTGATGCTCTAGAGGAGTCTCAAGGCTTTCTGTTTCTAACTGGAGAACACGAAGATGCCTCTTTTCACTCTCCTGTCATGAGGCCCCACAAGGGAGAACAAGGTGCTCAAGGGACATGACTCACCCGGGTCACTTATTCATGTCAACCTTGACCTGTGGTGAATGTCCCAGACCCATCTCATACACCAGGCCCCTTTTCGTGGTCTGTGGTAGAAAGTAAGGGTAGAGGGGCGCCTGGCTGGCTCAGTCGGTGATGCAGCCGACTTCGGCTCAGGTCATGATCTCACGGTTCGTGAGTTCGAGCCCTGCATCGGCCTCTGTGCTAACAGCTCAGAGTCTGGAGCCTGCCTCATTTTCTGTGTCTCCTCTCTCTGCCCTTTCCCTGCTCATGCTCTGTCTCTCAAAAATAAGTAAACATTTTAAAAAAAAGTAAAAAGGAAAGTAAGGGAAGAGAGCTTTACTTAAACAAACAAACATACAAACAACAACAAAACAAAAAACTAAAAACCCTACAAAACCAAGCTGTACCGAAAAAACTTTCTCAGGTACCAAGTTCATATTTCATGTCAATGAGCCTCAGTCCTGGCTACACATTAGAGTCATTTGAAGATTTCATTTAATTTTTTAATTTTGAAAGTTTATTTACTTATTTTGAAAGAGAAAGAGAGCGAGCACAAGTGGGGGAAGGGCAGAGAGAGAAGGGGAGAGAGAGAATCCTTAGCAGGCTCCGCACTGTCAGCGCAGAGCCCAACGCAGGGCTCAAACTCACGAACCATGAGACCATGACCCGAGCCAAAGTCAAAATCTTAACCGACGGAACCATTCTTTCCTTTGAGGTTTTTAAAGAAAATACCAATGACTATGCCCTTTCCTAGACTAATTAAACGGTAACTTCTGGGAGTGGGGAGGGGCCTGGCACTTTTCAGAAACTCCCCCAGGGAAATATAATGTGCGGCTAGTTTAGAACTGCCCCTAGTTAAGGAAGAGAAGGCTCAGAAGCAGCAGGAACTGAAGCGCTCTGCGGTTGGGTGAGCACCTTTCCCCAGCACACCCCAGTCATGCGACCACTAGGTCACTTGCTCTGACATTCCACGACCTGCCTATGCCTTCCAGCTCCCAAGAAAGATCTATGCAAATATGTAGGGCTGCAGCCCTCAGCCTGCCTCCTAGGCTGAAACCCTGAGCGAAGTTTACAAAATGATTTTTTCCATCAGCCCGGAAAGCCAGCAGCGGGGGCTTCCCTGTCCTCTTCTCTGAATCAATTACAGGCTGAGCCTGGGAGGCTCGGTTCTACGGAGCCACATTAGTCTTGAAGGACTATGGAATGTTAAGTGTGGGCTCAGGCGGAGGACTAGTTGATAGATCGGAGAAGGGGGTCTGATTTCACAATCACATATACTGGGAAACCTCAAAACGGAGGTGGGGTGGGAGAAGGATTTAGAGTCTGTTTCAAACGGCATTCTACCAGCGATATTTTACTCCCTCTGGGTTCCATTAAGCCATCTGTATGCTCAGTTTTAGTTGAAGGAGCAAGAAAGACGTCCCTTAATAACCAAGCAAGAAAGAATCAAGTGTTTTCCGTCTTTCTTTGGGAAACAAGTAGGTATGTACACCCCTGAATTTGTCACTGTGCTCCAGTTCTGCAGTGATGTGGCTGGCACAGAGACTCGCGGACTCGGTGCCCACAAACAGCTGCACCCTACAATACCAGCAGGTGCACGCACAGAGCCCAGCTCCAAAATGCGTCGCAAGAACAATGGCGCCGTTATGATGCTGAGGGACAAGGCCTCATACTGACCACTGCTGCGCTACATCTGACGACGGCGAGAGCTAGAAACTCAGCCACAGCTCCCTGGGATCTGGCCTTTCGGTCCCATGATCACATTCACAGACACAGCCAGGTAGAGCACCACAGTGACAGCAGCTATCAATGATAAGGCCCAACCGACCAGAGAGTTAGTGGAATTAAAGGAAAAAAAAAATCCCTCCGGAAAATGTATTCCTTTCCTTTTAACATCTCTTCTCCTCCTGTGGGCTGCACCGCCACAGTCACCAAGTTTACATTTACATCCAAATATGCACACACAAAAAAAATTACCGATGCATCTCACTCCCCGGTGACTTTGTAACAGGTTGCTAGGTAACAGTGCATACAAGTCAGGTTTCAAGACCTCTAGTAAGCCACCATAAAATAACTGCATGGGCCTTTTGCATAAAGAGTGTGCATTTGTTATCTGTTTTCTTATGCCCATTGATCAGTCAGTAAATACTCCGGCTGCCAAACTGCAAACAAGTCCCATCAATAACTAACTGAGAAAACAGAACGCAGTGTAAGGCTTCAGTACAGGGTCTTTCACCCCCAACCTACCGACCGGCTTCTTTTCAGTCCTTCTTGTTTGCAGTGCTGGCCCTCAGGAGGCCGTATCTTATGCTCCCTGAGGTTGGGTCTGGAGCTAATTACAGCCTGAGCCCAGCGGGAGTAGTGGATCATACACCAATGTTTTATGCAAAGACCAATCCTTCCCTCACCGCCTCTCCCCCTCCTCCAGATTTAAAAACTTCCTGCAGTCCTGGAGCAAAGGCAGTAACCCCAGTACTAAGAGCTACTCACCCCTCCTTAGTCTCCCTCTGTCTGTTAAGTAAGAAAATGTCCCATGTGGAAACCATGCTAAGTGAATATGCCTTTTGCATTCCATCCTTTGGGAGTGCACTAGAGGAGCTCAGAAAAGGAGCCCCTCTGGCTACAATACTGGTGGGTGAGACCATCAAGGAAGACGCCACCAGAATGATCTGCAGCAAAAAGAAAATTATAAGTGTGCATTTGCCCACATTTGCAAAAATGTTTAAATATAAAACTCGAAGACTCTACAAGCACATTTCCCCTAGACTGGGGTGGAACAGGGAGAAGGCAGGCAGAAGGGTAGGGAGGGAGAGAGAGCCCACTGTCCTTCAAGGCCACAGAGAGATGCCCTTTGCTCTAGGGGGCCTGACCGATTCCAGCAGAGGACTCCCCCCACCCCCGGCTGCGGGTAGGCAGGTTGCCTTATCTCACTGTTGACTACTCTGGTTATTTCTGACGCCTCATTTCCGTCCCCCACCTTTCTTCATGACTACAAACTAGTGTTGCACCCTCCAGAGGGGCAAAGATCTGGGGTGCTGGGGACATTCCAAGAGCCCTGACTGAAGTGTCACTGAGCAAAGGGACTTCTGAGGGAGTGAAGCTGAACCTCTAATTCACCTGGCAATGACATTTAGTGAAATGTGACTCACAGTCCATTTAAAGGAAGGCGGTGACCAATTATTCTCCATTTAAAAGGGTATTGTCAATCTCCAAAGAGCCGAAATGGCATTTGGAAATCATCGTGGGGACTGCCATCTTCACTGAAAGACAGAACCAACTCTCAGCCGACCTTTCCCCCACCTCCACATCTCTTTTACAATTTAAAATCATACTTTTAAAAATGTAACTACAGTAGAAACACAGTCCCACATCGTGTTTTATCATTTCCAAACAGTCGGGAAAAGCAGTGCTCCCTATTCCGCCACACCTCCTATTCAACTCCACAACTTAACCAAAGAAATCGGGGTGGAAAAAAAGAAAGGACAAAAAGACTAAGAAACATCATGTATAATTTGATGATGCAAATGCGATGTCAATTAGTAATAAATATTTATAACATATTTCATCCTCTTTCCAAAAGGCAATGGGGCAGGTGAGAAAGAATATTTTTTTAAAAAGTGGTTTTTTCTTAAATTTCAGTTTACATGAGGCACCTAACGTACTTAAATTCACAGAGGCAGAAAGTAGAAGAGTGGTTTCCAGGGGCTGTGGGGAGGGTACTATGAGAAATTATTGTTTAATGGATACAAGGTTTCTGTGTGGGATGATGAAACGTTCTGGAGATGGACCCTGGTGACGGTTACACAACAGGAATGCACTTAATGCCAAAGACCTACACACTTCACAATGGTTAAAATGGCAAATTTCATGCTAGGCATATTCTCCTACAATTAAAATGTTTCCACGGGAAAGAATAATGTAGAGATCATCTTTGTCATTTGCTCAAATTTTAAAATTATAACTCCCAACAGTAGTCTCCAGATCTATACAGAGACTTTATGCATCCTTTAAAACTCTTTCAAATTAAGGCACTGAAGAACTTGAGTAATGCAAACTGAGATGTTCCTTACAAGCACTTTAACAGAACCAAATGCAGAGACAAAGGTAAATACGGCCCAAGGTCACACAAAGAACTGTCACCAGTCTGGCTCATCATGTGACCTGTCCCCCATAACAAGAACCCATAAAGAGAAAAAGCCAGAAGGAAATCAACAAGATCTGTTGTTTCTAGACCCAAACCACAGAGATGCCTACTTCCAAAGGGCTGGGGGAAAAAAAAAAAGGCAAGGAGAAAATTCATGAAAGTGCAAACTATTAGAATTCAAAGGGCCCCTGAAATCATCTAGTACTACCAGCTCATTTTACGGATGGAAATCCTGGTAGAGAAAGAGAGAGGGAGCGAGGGAGAGAGAGAGAATACAACCCTATTCAAGTACCTGACAGCTTCATGAGAAAATCAGACGCCATCTTAACAGAGATGTCCTGGCTGAACAATGCTGACGCACTGTTGGCCACATACTCGGAGGGGTCTTTCAGCTTTGTGTGGTTGGCCGGCCTGTCGGCAGCATTCAGAGAAAAGGAGGTTGGCAGGCCGTTATCTTCCTTGGGTTCCTCCTTCACCAGCAAAGGCGAGACGCCAGCCCCACCCTGGCTAGTCCTCTCTGGAGTGTTGGACGTCATCATGGTCCCCACTAGCTCTGTCCCTCCTCCTTCCCTTTGCTGCCCCAGGCAGGCACTGTCACTGAGGTGGGGAGATCCCTTGACATCTGGGTCTGGGATCTCCTCCTTCACCTTGGCTTCTGTCCTCAGGAAGTGCTGATGGCAGCGCATGTGGAGTTTCAGGCTGAAGTGGCGTGAGGAGGTAAAAGGGCATAGCTGGCACTGAAAGGTCTCTCCCCGGTCCTGGTGCTGATGAACCTGACGGAGAAGCAAGAACAGTGAGCTGTCCACCATGTGCTTACGGAAAACGCCTCGTTGTACACCCTGACTATTCGTCAACAATCTCCTCACAGTGCCAGGGCCGGCCCAGGAAATAACACCACCAGAGGAACGTTTCATTACTGCGCTCCAGGTAATGAGGTCCGTCCCTAAACATAACAGGTCCACGTAGGTTAAGAGCCCATTATTAGAGCCACACTCACGAGTCCGCCAATGGAGGCTGTTTCTAGTAGAATCCTCCTAATATTCTAGTCACCTCATCTCGGTTGGTCTTCAGAGAAAATACAAGCCCAGCACAATTCGAACTTACATAATTACTAGTTGGGGGTCAAAAGACGCAACCTGTCAGGCAGTTCCTTTCACGATAATAAGTTGCATGTACCCAATTATTGTCACTCAGAGAATTAGTTATGTTTTGCAAACATAATTTCAATTTTCAAAACGCTTCTCTGGGTAATTAAGGATGCGGAAAATGACGCCTCCGGGGTATTCCCGTTTCACAGACAGGGAGACTGAGACCCCAGGGTAAGTGGCTTGAACAAAATTACATATGAAGAAAGCAAAGCAGAGTGGGAGAAAAACCAAGGTCGCCTCTCCACCAAGCACATTGGAAACCTGGGTTTCCAAATGTGGCTCCACCAGGCTCCAGATTCTGATGTGGGCAATGGAAGAATGCAGACTTTTCAATCCAGCTCCAGTCTCACATGCACAATACCTGTAGAAATTGTAAGGAACTTTTCGCTTCCTGTCCCTATCCAAATTTAGTGCCTGAAAAAGTGAGGAAATCATTGCACTGGCCGGAGCCAGGCTTCGAGCTGGCAGGTGCTCGTAAGCATGTTAACTTCCCCATTCAGCGCTGCCAATGTACTTCAGGGCTGACCTGCTACACCCTGCTATTTCAGGACTGCCCCTCCCTTGTGTGGAAACTGCCAATTGTGTAGATTTGGGCCAAATGATCCGGGGAGTTGTGGGATCTGGACAAACAAGGGATTGGAATTTCAAAACCAAAACAGAACTGACTCCTCGTCTTCCAGTGGTGACCTCAGTGGGATTTGAACCCAGGTCTAACAAAGGTTAGAGGCTAGTTCGTTAATCCACTGCACTACCTGGCCCCTCTGCGTAGGTTTCCTTTCCAACAGAGCAAGTTTTACTACAGCTGTTTATGCATTCTGAATGCAATCCAAAAGCATTATTCACCAGCCAAAACATACTTTTAAATAATGTTAAGTGACCAACAAAAGCAAAGAAATTAAAAGTTAATGGTGAGATCCTGTCGCTACAGCACCCCACTGTGGCTTTTTGAAAAAAATAGTTGAAGAGATTCTGGGTCCCCCAAAGCATATATTTCTCAGAAATAACCATATAACATGAAATTCAGTTGCAGCAAGGCCTTGCTCATTAAAAGGTTTCCACTCTGCCAGGTTGGGAGGGGCTGGGGGGTAGGGATGCGTTTGTCACTGGTCATTAACATCACCTCTCTGTTCTTTCACAACAAAGGGATCTCTCACTCTGGAGCTGATCATTTCATTTGCTTTCTCACAGAATCATGAAAGATCCTCTCCCCCATCTCCTCCACCTAATTCACACAGGAGCAGGGACCATGGGGCGGGGGGGTGGGTGACGGGGGGAGGAAGGGGGAGCTCAGGCACAGCCCCATAGGGCCCTGGCAGGTGCTGCCAAAGGCGTGCCCAGGAACCAGGTGGTAAAGTCACAGGGCAGAACGCTTTCCCGGGAGCAGTGCGGTGGGGCAGATTCTGTTTCAGAAGTGTCCTTACATCTATTGACCCAGGAGAGGAGTTAATCCAGGAACAGAAGCTCCGGAAGCAGCTTCTGGAAGAAGGAAAAGGACACAGAGCGAGCCCAAGTCCTAAAATCAAAAGGGAGCCCTGGACTGAAAAGAGTCTGTGCTCAAGTATTTTACGTGGCTTCTCTTCCACCAGATCCTGGCCTTGCTATATTTAGTTGTGGAAAAATCAGTGTCAGTTTAAAGGAAAAACAGTGGCCGAGGTGTTGACTTTCTCACTTATCGTTTTATTTGAGCTACACCTCCCCAAAGGGGCTATATGTCGCGTTTGGCCTTTGAGAGTAGTCTCTCTACCTTCCAGCAGCCGTTTCTTCCCTTCTGTCCTGACAGAAAAGCACTTTCTGTTATAACTTTAATCTCCTTAGCCTAACTCTGACTTTAAAATCCCTCCAAGTCTGCTAATGTGAAGAAATGCTTATCTATCATTCTTTCCAGGCCACGTAAGAGATGTCCTTACTGACTGGTCATTTTGCACCGAGCACCTAAGGGCTGGGAATACAAGGCACTGTTACATCATTAGGTCCATCTCCTGGTGGCGGTCAGAAGAACATAAGGAAACTTTGGCGAACATCTGTTCCACTCCCTTAGGGGACAAGGCCAGACAGGGAAGGGGCATCCTCGGGAATCACAGCTCCTTAAATGGCAGGCCTCAGACCCGCAGAACTCCGCTCTGACCCTTGTCCCATTTCTTGCCATTACTTCATCAGTGTTCTTTATTTTAGCAGTCCTCACCTTTTCTGTTCAATCTTAGCTTACGAATTTCACATTTAATTCCCGTATGCTCACTCATCCAGGAAAGTTGTAAAAGACTTAATGGAAATCTAAGATAACCCTGAGGAGGCTGGAGGCATTTACAAGCTCCTTCCTCGTCTGCCCATAAAAACATTTGTGAGATCTATGCAGGTTTTAAAAAAAACGCACAGTGCCCAGCACCCAGTAGGAACACAGTAAATAATGTCCTTACTGAACAAATAAAGGAGAATCCCAATTTGTCCTAAATAAATCTACATCACCATAATAGATGGATATATGTTAGAATAACAATAATGGTGATTTCTGTGTGATGGGATTGAGGGTCAATTTTATATTCTTGTTGTTTACCAGTTTTTCTAAATTCTCAGTATTAAAGATATATCACAAAAAGAAAAAGGCAATAAAATTTAGAGTAAATTCTTTATACCACACCATTAATGTGTTTCTGAATGTAAACACTAACTCAGACAACTTTTGGATACTAATGACCAGGCTGGCTACATTAACTGAGAGTTCTCCATGCCGGGCATTGTATTAAGTTGCTTTATGCCCATTATCTCATTTAACCCTTATAATGACTCCAGGAGATAGACTGGATGATTATCTCCATGGATGGAAAAGAAGGCTGTGAGAGGTTAAATGATTCGCCCAAAGTCTCACAGCTACTAAAAGTCGTGGAACTGAGATTCTAACTAAGGTCTTTCTGACCGCACACAGCTTGAGATCTGAATCTACAGGTGACACTGTCCCCACTTCACAGGGTGAACTCGTTTTAGAAAATCTATTCATATTTGTAGTTTCTGGTGAATGCAGCAGAAGCAGAAGATATCCATTCACAAGACCACCGCCGTCATGTTCCTATGCGGGCTATATTTACAAAATCCCTCTAAAGTATGTTGGATCCAAACAAAACCATGAATTCTTTAATTAAAGAAAGAAAACGGCCTGTACGTGAGGTGGAGAACAGAGAAAAGAAAGAGTACACCATTTGATAAAATTAAACTTGCATGAGCCCTTCTCACAAGTCCCTTATCAAAAGCTGGAGTCGTAGCTCAACAGGTTAGGACACCATGAGTTTGAATAAAGTAGTAATTTCACACAACTGCTTTATTGTACTGGTTATTGATTTGTTCTGAAAGCATTCTGAGACCCCGTGACCCGAAAAGTCCTCGCGGCTCTCATCTGTAACACTGTCATGGCCGACCGTCTGTATCATCAAGGCACCCAACTCATCTCCCTGTAGCTTCAGGGTCAGTAGTTCTTGCTATTGAAAACCCAGCTTTTTTTTTTTTTTTTTTCCATGGGTTTATAAATAGGTTGTTTTATGTGACCCTGAGCTGAAACCAAGCTTACAAGGTGTCAGGCTAGATGCAAGTTTTCTGCTCACTGAAGCTTTAAATTTGCCAGACCTGATTTCTAAACACAGCGCAGGACATAGTAAGGAAAACAAATTTTAGTTTTAAAGGCATTTCTTTTGAAGTCTCATCCTGCTAATGAAATCCACTTTGCAGATGTAAAATACGAGATTTTGCTTTGGGAAGAGGTGATAGAAGATGAGGAAGGTGGAAGGAAAAACTAAGTAGGCTCAGTTAAATCCAACCAACCAGAACTCCTGGTTAAATGGATTCTGAGGATGAAGGGCATGCTACTCTCAGGAGAAAAAGGCAAATGATAGAAAACAAACTACATCATGGATTTAATTTTTTTTTAATCTTCTGAGCTATTTCCTAAAATTAGTAGACGTTCTGTCTGATCACACTTTTTTTTTAGAGCTACAACTATAAACAGTGATCATTGATCCATTCAGACGGATTAGACTACAAGGTTTGAAGAAAAGCAAGTATCTTAATTATGTACATGCACAATGCTTCTTATGGCAGGAGACTGAAAACTTTACAATGTCAACAGCCAAACCATACTGAAAATAACAGTGGAAAAATGAAGGTGTTCAATGACAGTCACTGAAATTAAATAACCACTATTGAACATTTCTGTGTCAGATACTTTGCTAATATCATCTCCCTAAATAATAATGACAACTCTTCCAAATATACATTACCGTTCTCAGTGAACAGAGGAGAATATTGAGAGCCTGACATTCATCTGCTCAAGGCCACTTAGCTCGTAAGTTTCACAGTAAGATTTAAATTCAGGTCTATCAAATTCAAAATTCACGCGCTCTTTAGATCGTGTGACTTTCTTCCTTGAATTTAAGGGGAAACCTTTATTAGTAATGGGGTCTGCCAGAAAGATGTCTAGATGACTAAGTTTTCTCCATCTCACACAAGAGTGAAACGGAGTCTAGTCAAATCTCTTAGATGCTTATTACAAGTGCAAACTCCTCAGCTGTGTTTAAAAAGACATTGAAATCAATGTCCTTAGATGTCTGGGAAGTGTGATCCCGGTAATTAGGACAGCACAACCCTGAGAGCTTTAGGAGGACTCGGTCCTGTCAGGACTGACCCCCACCCCCACCCCCCAGCCTCACACATGGCGAAAGTTATAAAGCCCAGGCTTCTTTCCAGGTTCTCACACCTCCTATAAGGCGTCTCTGTGTGTTCCTGTGGATTTGTAAACTGGAGAGCAAGGCAAGAACAGAAGAAGGCAGTCCGTTTCTGGGGTGCAGGTCCAGCAGCCCATCCCATACTGGCCTTCCCCACCCTTTGCTCTTCCCTAAGTCTTACTGCCAGACATGTATAGCCACCCAAGGCCAAGGTAGGCTGCATCTCCCCAATAGGAAAGGACAGCTCACATTACGTCTATTATTTGGATACTGGCACTTCTGTTCGCTTGTAAGTTCTTGGTTGTAAAATGAACGGGAAGACTGTTAGAAGGAGACCCTTTAGAAGACGCTTCATTCGCGCCGCCTGCTACCTCCAGAGGATGAGTACTGAATACCGCAGGCTCCACCAGCGGCCCCTCTCCTGCCCAGCAGCCTCCCGCACCGGGCCACGTGCAAGAGCTCAGGCGGTGCCTGCCTCGCCGGAAGACCCATCCGCAGCTGGCTTACCTTCATGTGGGATTTGAGATTGTCCTTGCGAGCACACCGGAATGGACAAAGCGGGCACTGATGACTTTTTAAACCTGTGTGAATCACCATGTGCCGCTTCCAGTAACTCTTCCTCTTTATAACCAAACCACAGATCGGACACTGGAAAGGCTTCCCGCTTTCCTCTTCTGAGGCTTGGAAGAGGGAGAAAGAAAGAAAAAATTGAGGGAAACAAAAAAGGTACATCGCATCCAGCACTAACTCACAGGCACTGCTGCCTAAAGAACACTAAAAATGATCCAGTATTTTTCCTGGGCAATTCCATGGCTTTATCCTTAAGGAAGTTTTATTACTGCTTCTCTTCCCAGTAGAAACCCACGTTCATCTCATTAATTCCATGTGGGCTCCATTTTTCAAAATCTGATCATGCTGCTGTGGGAAAGTCTTACTCGTCTTACTTTCAAAGGCCATCCCACACTTAGGAAGACATCTGCAAAGAGGCTCTGCCTTTCCTGTCCTAATTCAGCTCAGAGGAGGTGGACTTTGGTGGCTTTATTTCCTGAAGGAAACCTCTGGACTTGAGGCCTTATCTGAATTCCTAAACTTAGAAAACAGCAGGAAACAAAGACAGGGAAAGATGCACTGTACCACACTGAAAACCAAATAGCCATCACAAAGCTCACACACCAAACTCCTATGGACAAATTTTAGGATCCTGCTGTTGACTTGGCTAGTTATGTCTTGAGCAAATGCTACTGCCAGTTTAGCCATCGGTGGGTCTCAGGTCAGGGTGCTCCCCTCACTTATTTCTGTCCCTCTGGTTGCCACTAACAGGATGCACTGCCTTATCTGCACTGGGCCCCACAACCCACTTTGGGAAGAGCTACAAAGAGGCAGTCACAAATGCTTCCATTTTTCAGGAAAGCAAACAAACCAACTACTTCCTCCAAGTAAAGCTAAGATAACTCTCTCCACCTCCATCCCCTCAGGAGAGGGTCTCTTTGTGACACTGTGTTGCCACCCGGCTCAGTGCCACACTCGCTTCTGCAATTTGAAGACAGAATAAACAAAAGCAAGTAGAGGTGGAGACTCAGGCTTTCCTTTCTTAATCATGAGAGATCAGAAACATTTCTGGGGCACCTGGGTGGCTCAGTCAGTTAAGCACCTGACTTCGGCTCAGGTCATGATCTTGCAGTTCATGGGTTCAATCCCCACGTGAGGCTCTGTGCTGATAGCTCGGAGCCTGGAGCCTACTTCTGATTATGTGTCCCTCTTTCTCTCTCTCTGCCCCTCCCCTCCACCTCTCTCTCTGTGTCTCTCAAAAATAAATAAACCTTAAAATTTTTTTTAAAAAGAAGTATTTCCAAATGGATTAAATAAAATATAATACACTCATAAAGTAATACACTCATATATGAAGCCATTTAAAAAATGAACTAGATCTATAGATGCTATATAGAAACATGTCCAAGGTATTAGAGTTAGTAGATAAAGCAAGATATGAAACTGTATTTCAAGGCTGATTCTATTTTTGTTTTCTAAAATTGGGAATCAATTGCTACTACGGTGAGGGAAAAGGGAGACAGGAAATTATAGAGGATGGGTCAAGCTAACACTTAAAGCTACTCATTAAGCTTAACTGCCAAAAAGAAGACACTGTGTGCCTTCTGATAAGCCATCTGTGAATTATTCCTATAAAAAGTTTAATCAAGCCTCTATACAACTAGAAGTTTACCAGAAATACAGGTGATTAAAATAACAAAAACATGTTAAACACAGACACACACCACACACACACATACACACGTACACACGTGTGCATGCACACACACACACGCACACATGCAGGGGACAGAATAAGCCAAAACCAGAATGTGGGAAATTCTATAGGATGAATGACAGTCTCTTCAAGCAAACGGTGCTTGGTAAAGGGGCACGGTTATGGTGACATGTAAAACAAATATGAAGTGTGAGGCTGATTTCGATCCTGACTTGAACAAAGCAATTATAAAAAGGCACTTTTGAGACAATTGATGGAATACTGATTATAGCCCAGACCTTCCATAAAATCATGAAGCAATCATTGATCCTGTTAGATGTTGTAATAGTTACGATAGCTATTATTTTTCCACAGTTCTTCTCTGTTGGAGATAATGTATATGGTAATATTTACAGGCAAATGGATATGAGGTCTGGGATTTGCTTTTAAATGCTTGAGCAAAAAAAAAGAGGGAGTAGGAAGAACGGGATGCACAAATGACAGAAAACGATATCCTTTTATTTGTATAAAAATTGTCTGGAAGCATACCCAAGAAACCATTAGGCAGTCACCTATGAAGAACTGTGGACTAGGAGGAAGGGGTCAAGGAGGGAAACTTTTGTTTTTATTTTATACTCTTCCGTACACATTGAATTTTCTAATGCACACGTTACTTTTACCATCTTAAGAGGATATATTCTCATGTGTAAACTTTAAAATCATCTTATTATTTATTCATCAAGTCAATTGAGTATGTGCAAAGGACCACTTATAATGGATGGAACTAGGGGGTTCTGGAAAACAGGGAGCGTATTCCGAACACGCTGTTTTACTACTGCAGGTATAATAAGCAGGACTGGTTACTCTAACCAAACAACCCGAAAAAGAAACTTCTCGAAAAATAGACCTTCCAGTCTAAAGATTCTACTGGTGATGTTTCTGTCACAAATCTTCCCTTTTCCGATGGGAGGATGGGGTGGGATTGAGGGTTCCCTTTCATCCTAGGGCAAGCATACTTTGTAGAAGCCTATAAACATGTCTTTTTATCGATCTGACTGTAGCTTTCCTACTGTCTTTGTTGATTGCCTCTGCTGACCTGGAGTCCCATCCCTAATCTGGCCTCTCATGTTCTATTCTTCATTGTCATTTCTTCCACTCAGGTATCTTGATCACAAAGACTACACACTGAACAACAGACATGAGAGGAAAGACTGAACCAGGCCTCTAGGTGAGATTATTGTCATCAACCAGAGGGGGAAAAAAATGATAATCATGTCTATTTGGGGTTGTAAGGACATCAAAGCAACAAGAAAGACATACACACAAACAGGCTGCCACTGATCCCCATTTTCCCAAAGTATTTCCCAGTATCTCAACCCCAAACTGCCTAATGTTACAGAATTTTCTGGGAGAGGAGAGAAAAACGGAGATGTCCTCTACTGACCTGAGGTTTCTTGGCACATCACCGGAAGGCAATAAAAAGGCATTAACTAGTCAAAGGAACATCACCAGCATCCCCTGGATACCTTGCTTTGTTTAATGTGATCAATATCTTTCTTATTTTTTCGTACACCCCCCTGCCTCCTAGTGTGTATTACAGAGCACACTGCATTAAACCTTTCATATTAGCATTTCATATAAATTTATTTTATTTTGGAGCTATGCTTCCTTAGTTTTAATTAATACCAAAAGACATACGAATCATGTATAAATTAGAGTGTCCTTGGACTGACTGGGAAAAAAAATTAGAATACTCATAATGAAGAGAAACGAACAGCAAGATATGTGGTCAAATAGCTACATTATTATAACCCTTTGAACTTTTTAACTGATTGTGGCAGGAAAGGAAGAAGACAGAAGCCAAATGATAAAAGTAACCGTAACACAATGATCTATTTTCCAAATTGGCCATTAATCTCCCCTGGTAACATCTACGTTTTTGTTCATTAAATTTTTTTTTTTGATACTTTAATAGGATTCCCTCCATGTGTATATGATGTTGTTAACTACCTTGGAGAAGGGAGGAAATAAGGATATATTCTAGTTTGTATGTCAAACTATTTTCAAGGAATGGACAGCTAAAAATTTCACTCAAATTTAGAGCCTAAGGAAATATGACCACTTCCTTAGACTGAACCACATATTCTTCAGGCAACAAAATTGAAACATTCATTATTTTACATAGTTGACAACCGCCTGGGAAACGATTTCCCCCAACCATATCGCTAGCTAGTTAGTATCACCATAAACAAAACTAAATCCCACCAAATGCTAATAAACCCAGTGGCACGGATAGGTGTTGGTTTGCTTCTTTGGAAAAAACCCATTCTCTTTACAGGCATTCATATTATTGGAATAAGAGAGATAATAAATGTGTGTAGAACTCCTGTCACACAGTAAACGGAAGCTACCAGTAGTAGCTGTTGCAATCACAGTAGTGACCATAAGTTCTAGTCATACCCTCCAAAGCAGGACACTCACCAGGAGGGATGACAATTTAAACAACGGACATCACATAAATCCATAGCTCGGGGCCTGGCCCAGAATGCCACTCTCTCACATGAGCCAGGGGAAAACAAAGGAACAGGCGGCCACTGTGCTGCTTGGGTAGGGCCCAGCTCAGCCTAGGCAGAACCCTGAGGGCCAAATTCAGCTTGGCAGCGGAAAGAGAGAGGTGGAAACGACAGAAGGGGAAGAGAGGAAGGAGGGAAGATTGGCTGGGGCGCGGCCAGAGATCTTCCCCTGTGTGTCTTCAGCACCCAAACAGTGCTAGGCGCGATATACAATTCGATAAATGTGTGTTGGGCTGTAATGAGAGTAACTGGAAAGGGCTGGATCAGGAGAGTATCAGAAAGTGAAATGAGTGCTGGAAATGGAAGAAAAAGGTACAGGAAGCTGCCAGCAAGTCCCAATGGTAGCAGTGTCAGTCAGCCCCAGAGTGCATGCTTTTCACACACCCACTACTACACGCGTCAAATGAATGGGCATGGAAAGATGTGCACGTATACATCTTACCTATTTCCAAAACGAGTCTGGAGGAGCTGATCTTTAAAATGCATCCAGGAGGACTACACCATTAATAAGATACAGTGATAAGTGTTTAAACTACAATGGACAAGATCTGCAGAGGCAATCTTGTGAGAGGTTTGATGATGAATTTTAAGAAGCAACATATTTACTTCAAAAAATTATAGTTATTTTGAGTTGACAGGGTTACAGAATAAGAAAGGAAAAGCAAGCAATTTTAACACAGGAAGGGATGTTGGAGATAATTCCCAACTAGCTCAGTTTATATAGATGAGGAATCTGAACAGAGGTGTATGCTTAAAATCCCTAGTTTGTGGCACTGTTGGGATCAGAGCCAATATCTTCACTTCCAGTTTGGTGACCTACCAAATTGTCTATACATAAATCCACAAAGCAACAGTAACACTTCATTGGGCTAAAAAAAACAATCATGGAAGCTATAAACTTACTTGCTTTAACTCAAGGTAGGAGTTTTTCTTTAATGTTTATTTATTTTGAGAGAGACAGAGTAAGTAGGAGCAGGGGAGGGGCAGAGAGAGAAGGAAAGAGAGAATGCCAAGCAGGCTTAGCCCGACGTGGAGCTTGATCTCATGAACTGTGAGATCATGACCTGAGACAAAATCAAGAATCTGGATATTTAACCAACTGAGCCACCCAGGTGCCCCTTGAGGAATGAATTTTAAAGCAAATGTAAGTGTTTCATAGGTCTTGAAATCAAACTTTCTCTTGTTAGATCCTATGTGGCAACTTGCAGAAAATGGAGCTAACTTGCAAGTAATTGCAGGTGGTGTCTACATACACACCTCACCGTGCACATCAACAGGGTTCAAGATGCCAGATGACCCTGCGGATGCATGACCCTCATCGCTGTCCCCACTGAGGCCTCCTAACTTACTGCGCATCCGAGTAGGATGGCCCATCCTCCTTCCTAACAATATCCATGGAATTAATATCTTTTCATAGGATTTCGTGGGCATGTCTCTCAAATGTTATTTCAGAGTATAAAAAACTATGTTGGAGATGGATATCACTGGGTTATCTGTTGTTTTTGACACCAATAATTATTAATACATATTTGAATGATTGCTAAGTATTCAAAAACTAAGAAGTTTTAGATACCTTGATAGACTAGAGGCAGTCTATATTTAAATCACTGAGGAAATATAATTGAGGTCAGTGACAGATAGTTCTGAATCTTGATTAAAATGTGAATTTTCTAAACAAGTTCCTGTCTCGTGATCATTCCCAGATGATGGCTAGAATAACCATGAGCTTAACTGGAGTAGAGGGAGAGGTTACCTTATATTCTGGACTTTCTATGCCTTTGCAATAATTTTAATAGCATTGCATAAATATGAAAGAAAACAGGATCCAGAAAACCTCGATCTATTGACCCAGGAAATATTCTGAGCCTTCAGTTGTATGCGACCAGCTTGCTTCTCAGCACATTTAAATTTTACTCAGTGAAATAAGATGTTCTGGAGACCCTCTCTCTGAAACTCTCCTTGTTATTTCTTTTAACTGGGAGCCTGGCATCTTGGGAATCTTGCTGGCCGTTTACAAGAAACTTTGTCTTTAAAATAAAAACCATTTATTTTATTCTGAGAGGCAACAAACAGTAGCTTCAAAGGGAACTGAGTCAATGTGTGACATTTATCTTTAGAGCAAACGGGCATAATCTTCTCTCTCCATGTCCCTTTTCAGAGGAGCAGTGCAGCATGTGCTGGGGCACAGGGTCACATGAAAGAAACCTCCCTCCTCAAGTGTCACGTCTCTCTAGCAGGGGGAAAGGCTACCGAGTGGTGGGCTCTTTAAGGAATGAAATACACCATGACCTGGCAACGACTGAATCCTGTTCAAAAAAGAGGAATAAGGTCAGACCTAAAAGACACGTTTTTCCCCCCATGGTTTGGACTTCCCTTGACCTCAAGAAGGTCAAAGAAATGCTGGGGTCTAAATTACTCAATACAAGATTGGCTTTTCCAGCACATATCTCTTTGTAACTCTAGAATCAACTTTATATGCCCTCTCTGCAACATTTTTGGGAAATGGCTTTAAAATGTGAGCCCTGCTTGAAATCAGGATGGCGTGTACTTATTTTATAGATTTTTTTTGTGGGCTATTATTTGTTTATTTAAATTATTGCGCAACGGATCGTTTTCTCTTTCCAGTGCAAGAAACCAGCCATATTATCTGTTTTGAATTAAACAAAGCTTTCTTTCTAAGGTAAAGGAAAAAAAATAATGAAAGATGTTTAGAAACATGCAGCCTTCATCACATTGTCCTAAATGCTTTCATGGTAAAGCCAAGTTACATCTGAATCTAGCCCTCGGTCATCCTGAAACCAACAATATAGTGTGTGGGGTGGGGGTGGGGCGCGGGGATGGGGAAGACCCATCTTTCTTCCCACTTCTCACATTAAAAAATCTATAACAGCTACCAAATCATCTCTCCGTGATAGGATAAATAACAGAATTAAATAGTCTATCAGCTCCTCCTTAACCCATAATCTAGTTAGCATGCTGGGAAGTGATGACATCGCTTTAACTGAGAAGGGCACATAGGCACCCTTCTCCCGTTTGCACCCCATGCAGTAAGACACAGAACTCGAATTTAGGATGCGTCCACATGATCACATGGAACATTTGTCAAGGGACCGTTTCAAAGCAGTCAATGGAGCTGCTTCACCAACTCTTGGACTGTGCACAGAGGCACGTGGAGAACAGGGGACATGGGTACCAGTCAATCACCGGGGGCTTGCGGAGACACAATCCAAGGAATTTCTGTCTCTCCTCTTTCAATTTGGTCATTTTGAACGTTCATTGATTAAAATAGTAAGTGTTTTAGCAATAGAAGAAATCCAGAAAGAAGAAAAAAGAAAATGACTGTTTATAGATCTCCATGTTAAATTCTGCTGAGAAGCTCACTGCAATGTTGGCATGAATTAAATGCATTTAAACCATGAAGGGAACGTATCTTTTCCTTTGGGTGTGTAACCTACAACAAAACAGGCAGACAGAGTCTACTGGGCACTGGAAGTTCATGATCTCTTTCACATCTTTACATGCATCTAAGCCCTGGAGTGAAAAAAATGATACTTCGTTGCTAGCTATACTCAAGATGCTTTACAATGACAAAGCGGCCACAACGTGCCTTCAGGAGGCAGTTTTATCAGTTATCTTTTTATGTTCGTGAGCCTTCAGCCAACTAACATTTATTATTAATTTTGCATAAGTTTTTCTAAGTAACTGAAGTCCATATGAATTTGTAGGGTAAACACCATAAAGGTATTCATTCAATAAGCAGATACAGAGAATATTTATAAAACCATATTTAAAAAAAATTTTTTTTAATGCTTATTTATTTTGAGAGAGAGAGACAGAGTGCAAGCAGGGGAGGGGCAGAGAGAGAGGGAGACCCAGGATCCGAAGCAGTCTCCAGGCTCTGAGCTGTCAGACAGAGCCCGATGTGGGACTCGAACTCACAAGCTGTGAGATCATGACTTGAGCTGAAGTCAGATGCTCAACCAACTCGGCCACTCAGGGGCCCCTATAAAACTATATTTTATATACAGCCATGCCTCTCTTTCTGCTGCTTCCCTAAATGAAATTTCTATAAATGAGGGGTGATTTTCTCCGTTGCAAAATTACCCAGCTCCTTTTGCTCTTCTCCTGGTTTCCTAATTTTAGCCATTTCACCAGATGGCAGGTAAGAAGTGAGGAGAAATGAAACTGGGAATGGATAAACACTTCAGGATTTTATGGACCCTTCAGAAACTCTGGAGTGACCGGTTTGGATGACTTAGAGTCATAAAAGTTCCAGGTATCCATTATCTTAGTTCTATTCTGCTGTTTACACAAGTTTTAAAGTAATTAGAATTAGTGCATAGAGCTCACTCAGCAATTTAAATGGAAATTTGTCTGAAGTGTGTCAAACCGATGTTATTGGCGATCGTTCAATTATTTGCCATTCTAAGCACTCTTCATCAATGTGGCTGCAAATAATCAAAGCTGGCTAGACACACACAACAGCAGTGTTTACACTGACGAGGGCACATATAGTCTACTTCCTGTTCCAATCTGACAGGATATCCTCGGGAGACATCTGACACTCCATACCTCCATCCCGGGACCATGAATTTACCATACGCACCACTTAAAAACAACCCAGTACAAGATGTGATGCTTCCACCGTGAGAACTCAAGTGACTAACTTTCTCCCCCAGACGAGTCACTTGCGAATGTCAGGGCTCCACAAGACAGCGACTTCTCCTTTGGAAAGACTGTCCTCACAAGAAAAACTTATGATTCAAATTTTCCACATGCACATTCCTTCAGAATCTGATTGGATTTGAATTTTTTAAAAAAAAGCATTTGCAGGAAATGCTTTGATTGTGTCTGAATGACAATATTCTTTAGGGTTCTTCTATGACAAGAAATTACAGAGGAACAGGATAAGTGGGAAAGGCTTAAATTCCACACACAACAAAAAACATAATAAAAATGCTAACATAAAAGTATACAGTGTGATAAATTAGGGCAGAGTAGTTACTGTATACAAAAGTCCATTTGTGACGGGAGGCAGCAGGAGGGTGGGCTCTCCCTTGTCCACTGTTTCAAAAGCAGCGGGGATTTTTTTTTTTTTATCCCCCTATGTTCAGTGATGCCATGCACTCCGTGACAAAGCTGCTTTGATCTTCTCCCATTAAATATGTCTTGTATGGACCTAGCCCGCACTTGGTAAGGGGAAAAAAAAAAAGATCATTTATATGAAAGGGAGGAGTACTGTATGTCTCTAAGATTATTCATTACCTTTCAAAAATGAAGCTATTTGTGAAGTCTTTGTGTAACACATACATGAAAGAACACTACACTGCTTACTTAAAGTATTTTCTTGTGCTCTTGCTTTCTTATTCCTGCCTCAGATCAGACGGAGACCCCTTCCGAACAAAGCAATGAAGACGTTGCAATTTACAGTCAAAAAAAAGAAAGAAAAAGAGAGAAAGAAATTTACACGATGATTGAAATAAAAGATCCCATACCTGAACTGGAGGGTTTAGAAACTCTTCCCTTAGGAACTGGGAGTAACAATAATTCCAAGGACTGTGGCGGCGGCGGCGGTGGTGGGGGCGGCGGTGGTGGTGGTGGAGGCGGTGGGGTTACTTTTTCTGGCTTCTTCTCTGAGGGTGGTGGCGGGAGAGGGTCCTCAGGCACCAGTGATGACTTCTCAGCCAGAAGACTCCCAGCAGCCCTTGCTGCTACCTCTTTCAGAAGGGCCGCCGAGGAGGTCATGGAAGCCAGGGAAAGGAAAGAGCTGGCCGGAGGTGGGTGTTCCTGACCAGGAGTCAAGCTTCTCTCGCTGACTTTCTTGGATAAGGCTGCCAGCGTGGAACTGGCAGACTGGGAGCTAAAAGGGGAGGAAAAGGACTCAAATCGCATGGTGTCCTCAGTCCTGGTGAGAGATTTGTCCTGCAGAACGGCATTGGCTGCGGCTTTCAGTTTTAGGATGGCTGAATCCGGGGACAAGCCGCAGGTGGTGGTTGAGTTCGACAACCACTTACCTTGATTCCATATAAAACGGTTACTTGGAGTGTATTGGTCATTCTGTTCCTGCTTCTCAGCCAACTTCCTGGCGAGAACACTGAGCTGCTGGGCATGGTGGGACGGTGGGGAAAAGGAGAGATTCGAGCCCGCGTTTACCGGGGACTCCACCCTGCCATTGGCTGTGGCTGTGGCATCGAGTTTGAGGGAGCCAGCCTCCAGCAGCCGCCTCAGGTTGCTGCTCAAGGGCTTAGCCGAGCCTGGGGGGTCATCCTCACACAAAGAAGACACGCCAGGGGAGAGGTGATCTTGACACTGCAGTGGGTCTCGCAGGACCTCACCATCAAGTCCCACCAGCTCCAACGTGTGACTGCTGGGAGTGGCACTCCCCAGGGAGGTGTCGGGGGAAGTCGACTGCTCCTGGATCCGGTCCTCCAGCGACAGCTTATAGTTCTCCTGGACTTCTCCGTAGGATGCTTCTGACGGAGTCTCTGAAGAGTTCCCATACCAGTGCTCTCCTTCACTGAGTTCTCCCTCCGCCTCTTCCAGCCTACTAACATCTGGGGGAATTAAGAAGATCAGGTTTACTCTCCAGTGGGCAATAAGCAAGTCTGAAGACATTCACATGGAGTCGTCGACACGCTTCCTCTTCCCCTAGCCCCAAGAACCACGAGACAGGCAGCAGCAACCTTACCAGAATGTCAGGTGCTGAGTCAGGCAGTCTTGGCACAAGCCTTCTGAGAGAAGGTAAAAAACTAAACAGGCAAAGGTAAAAACACACCCACCTACGAAACATATTCATCTTTCTATAATTATTCCAGACAAATTGAAATGAAAAAGAGGGAGAGAAAAAAATGGATCTGAGAGAGAAGTAACTGCATGAAGGGATGGCTATTCTCAGTGGTGGGGGAAGTAGAAAGAAGCTTGCTCCTTTGTAAAAAAAAAAAAAAAAAAAAAAAAAAAAAGAACAAAAATCCCAGCATGATATCTTTAGTGTTGCATCAGAATTAGAGAGGCAGCCTGGCAGGGTGGGAAAAAGTTGTCTGAGAGGCACAAGAAGGTGGGAAGGCACTTCCCTACTTTCTGATTCCATGACCTCAGGCAAGTAGCTCTGCGGGTTTGATAAAAGAGGCAACTGATTTTTTTTTTTAAAGTTCATCCAACAATGTAAATAATACCTGCCTATTAGAAATGACAACAACTGCGTCCAGTTGTTACAAAGCTTAAATCATAATAAGCATGTGACTGTGACTTGCAAACAGTCAAGAACTCTATAAAAATCAGATCTCACTCGCAAACACTACTCACATTACTGATGTCTTAAAGGGACAGTATCTCCCATGTTATGCATGCTACTTCTTTGAGAGTCCTGGATTCCAATTACCAACATGCCTGCAATGATTAGGAATTTGTTCCCTCCCTCTATCAAGAGTCTCCTTTAATTATTTTCTGTCCATTAATTTATCTTTCCACCACTACCAGTCTGACTGCCCCCACAAAGCACCACTCAGTTGGGACTCCCAGCCATTCCAAGAGCACCCATGAGCTCTGTCATCATTCTACCTTTGCTCAAGACATTCCTTCCATCAGGAATGGCCTTCCTCAGAAAACCTGACTATTTATCCTTCAGTTTCCAGCTCAAAAGTTTCTTCCCTGTGATTCTCCCTGGAACTCTCAGAATCAATCTCTTCTTTCTCATTCACTCACTTCTTCAACAAACAATTGCGGAGTACCTGTGGCATGCCAGGCATTGTTCTAGATCATTCTAGATCGAACCACACTGAACAAAACAAAAATCCTGCCTTCCTGGAGCTTCACATCCCACTGGAGGAAGATAGATGTCACACAAAATTTAAAAACTAGTAAGTCATACAGTAAGCCAGAGGCTGGGAAGTGCTATGGGAAAAGATATGAAGCAGGGCAAGGAGGGCTGGGGGTAACAGGTAGAAGGGGGGTTGCAATCATAAATAGGATGGGCATACCGGGCTTTACTGAGGTGGTGACATTTGAGCAAAGACTTGAAAGAAGTGAGCGGTTGTTCATGCAGCTACCTCTGGGAGAGCATTCCATGCAGAGGGAGTCACTGTAAAGGCCCCGATGTGGAAACACGCCTGGTATGTCCATGGCCCAGCCAGGAGGCCAGTGTGCGTAGAGCGAGGGGAGTAGGGGTCGAAGCAGGAGAGGAAGTCAGAGAAGTAGCATCAGAGAAAGAGAAGGAGGAAAGAGAGTGAGGATGGGAAGCAGCGAGTCTATGCAGACCTGCAGAACACTGTAGGTGGCAGAAAGGTCTTCTGCTCTGGTCAAACTGGGAACTCACCCGAGGGCTTTAATACAATGTGGCTTACATTTTTTTTTTTGTTTTAATTTTTAAATGTTTATTTATTTTTGAGACAGAGAGAGTGAGCACGTGAGCAGGGGAGGGGCAGAGAAAGAGAAGGAGACACAGAATCTGAAGCTGGCTCCAAGCTCTGAGCTGTCAGCACAGAGCCCAATATGGACTCGAACCCGGGAACCACAAGATCATGAAGTAGACTGAAGTCGGACGCTTAAACAACTAACCCACAGAGGCACTCCTGATGGGACTTACATTTTCAAAGGGCTGTTCTGACTGCTGTGTGGAAAAGAGGCTACAGATACAAGGGTGGAAGCTGGGAGACCAGCCACGAGGCTGGAACCCAGGTGAGGGACGACAGTGGCTCAACTCGAGGTGACTGCCGGTGGTAAAAAAAAGCAGCCCGATTCTGTGCATCTTTTGAATGCAGAGCCAACATTTCCATGTTCTGTTTACACTGATTTTACATCACTGTAAATTATCTATCTACTATGGACTTCCAAAAAGTAAGTGGCAGTGTTCCTTGAAGGCAGGGATCGTGTTTTACCAGCCACACATCCCTCCCTGTGCCCAGCATGATGCCTGGACCCCAGCGGAGTCAATGAATGTTTAGGAATTGAGCCAAAATATCCCATTGTGCCAAGTTTTGCTATATGATATGCTGTTTCTTGCCTGAATAGAAGTAGCTAGAACTGGTAATGCATGAGCTACAAGCTAATACATTGATCTTCCCATGCTATTTAGGGAAGAAATGTCACAAATGACAAATTCTCTTTCACTAAGCTAAAGTTCCGTGACTCCTTCCTGAGGTTCTTTATTAAATTATCAAGAAAATGTAAAATATCAAATGGAATTTGCTGAAAAAAGGCAGATAAAATTGAATTTTCTCTGTTAAAAACAGTCTGGTTCCTTGTGATTTGCCACATTTCCTTCTTCCCACTCGATTTCAACATTTTTCATCTTCGCTAAAACCTGCAAGACCCTGAACCACTCATCTCCCCAATGGCTTCTCCAAGAGATGCTTTTTTTCCCAAACACCAAGTAGTCAACATCCATTTCAGCAAGAGGGCTAATTTTGTGTTCCTTTGGCAAGCCACCTTCCTTGATTTCAGTTTAAATATCTTATCCTTCAGAAAACTCACATGGGAATGATCCTGTAAATAGTAAGAGAAGTAAAAGAATCACTACAGTAAGACTGTAGTTGAATATCTCTTCAAAGAATATCTTCTCTGATCTTTACTGACACTCACTAAATGAACGTAGGAAAACAAATGATTCAAAAGTGAATACTTTCAGGGGAGCCTTGGTGGCTCAGTCGGTTAAGCATCCAACTTCCGCTGAGGTCATGATCTCACGGTTGGTAGGAGCCTGCTTCAGATTCTGTGTCTCCCTCTCTCTCTGACCCTCCCCTGCTCACATTGTCTCTCTCTCTCAGAATAAATTAAAAGAAAAAAAAATTTAAAAAAGTGAATACTTTCAGATGATATTTTTGTCATAGTAGAGTAGCTCTAGATAGTCAAGACTTATCCAGAACCAATACGGTGTCAGTTAACAAGGTGCCTAAAACCAGGGTTTTGAGAACCGTGAAAAATCCTAACCATATGTCCTCGCTCATCATTATACTGAGACTATTAAATATTCTGAGGGAATATCTGGGTGGGATCAAAAGCACATAGCTACCTACTGTTAACGCCAGAACCAAGAACCCAAATCACACCACACCTGGCCCAGTGCTTCTCTGCAAAGCCCCAATGCACCGCCCACCAGATGCCTCTGACTGGCATCTTCTAGTGGTCAGAAGCCCCTGCCCTCCTACTCCTGGCCATCCATCCCTCTAATCTCTAGGAACAGAAATCAGCAAGAGAATTCTCAAAGGCAAGGACAGTATTCACTCCTTATCTTAAGATAAGTCATTAAGAGTTAAGTATCCATTATTCCCATGTTCTAATCTCTCCATTCCCTCCAGGCAACCTCTTTGTTGCAGTGGTCAAAAGTCACTCAAAGGCCTCTAGAATTCAGCACATCTATTGGCAAAGCCCCAAAGGCAGAGCTTAATTTCCTACCCTCTGTGAACCCGAACCTTCTGTGAGCAAGAATAAGTCCCCCTCCAAACGTGCTAAGGCTGAGGAGTGAATCAAAAACTACAGTTGTCCATTCAGTCTCTAATCCTACCAAGCTGTGGTCAGGAGATTCGAACATTCTTGAATGATACAAACAGCTGATATCTACCTTTGGAGAAACTTTCCCAACCTTGCCAAAACATTAAGCACCAAACAAGCAACCAAAGCATTTCTTAAACGGACCCGTTTATGTCCTCTAAAATAGCTGGATATTTTTCAACCTATCCCTTCCCCATTCTTTGTGGACGCGATCACTGAGATACATTCTCTTCCAGACTGCAAAAAACTCAGATACATAAAGAGTATTTTTAAACTCATGATACTCTATTAATCGCTTTTCTGAAGATGCTGCTATAAAACTGAAGCTCTTCAAGTAATGTATCACCGAATAATTTCAGTGCATGGCCTACGAGGAGCCAGACCAGAAACCCGAGGAGAAACATTTTTGAAATTATGCTGGCATCACCTGAGGTCAAGCGAAAAGTGGGGGAAGCTTTCAGAGAAATGAATGCAAGAGAAGTGGAGACCTGCAGAGGTTGGAGAAAAATCATAAGTGGCTCAAACAAATATGCTTTCAGTTCACAGAGCAGCAGCAACAAGGATTTTCTCCCACAAATATTAATTCTCTTCCCCCTGCTGGTCTGCGCTGTATTTCACATTTGATTTCATCCAGGAGATGTCCTTGAAGGCTGCATCGGTCCAGTTACGGGGAGCTCCCACTCGGTGGGGTGCGCAGGAACCCAGAGCACCTCTCACACTGCATCATGAGAAAAGATTCTCATTGGAGAAGCTCAAAACAAAGCATTCCAGCAATCTAGGGGATTAACTTGTTGGACACCACAAACTTTAGACAAGCCAGGCTTGACTTCTGCCTCTCTTTCACAATTCGAGAAGCCCCTGGGCAGCGGAGCAGCTCCATTTTCCTGCCCGTCACAGGCATAGAATCGAGGCATGTAAGCTCCGAGCACCTCACATGCTGCGATCCCGGAAATGCTTCCTGTGCACATGGCCTGTGGATTTCACAGCTTTCCTAACTGAGGCTCCCCGGGGGAAGCCTCTAAACGGCCAATGTAAATAACTTCCTTGTAAATACATTATTTTTAACCTC